GAAGGAAGTTGGATGCTTTGAATTTTATTGAGGGGTATCAGAGGGAAGGGACCTGAATACACGTAGGCATTGTTTTCTATACTGTTTTATATATATATGTATGTATAATAGTATTGAAATACCCCAGCAGCAAAACTCAGCCCATTGTTGTGCATTCTGTCTCTTCTAAGTTATCCTCATTTGTAAGATACATTAGGGCTTATAGTCATACCTGTGAGTCAGTAGGTAGCCTAACTAGTCAAAAGAAACACTTCAAGCAGCAACAAAATTAAATAAATGCAAGCTACCAAAAACGTTGAATTTGCAACTCCTGGGTGCTTTTTTTTTATAGACCTACAAAATCATTTAAATTTAATATCTTCTCTAATTTAAATTGTTTTTACTGTCTTTCTCTTCTTTTCCCCCTATAACCTTTAAACTTAAGCAAAAATCATACAGTTTGATGCCAAAAGGCCCCCAGTTTAAATCTATATTCAACACATATACTGGAAGAGACCGTTATTAAGGCTGTAAGCTGCCCTGAAGTTAAAATGGCAAATTAAACAAGAGCATGATTTATGCCAAACTCAACTTGAAATAAATGGATTCGGGATGCACAAAGCATAAAAAAAAAAGAAAAAAAAAAAGAGTTTCCTTTTCTTAAAATACGATTTTTATTTGTGAATTTACACAGATTAGCAACACATCTAAAAGCATCTCCATTAGATAACCATTTATATAGGATTTTCACAGGTCACAGAGAAGCTGGGCTCAATCTGACACGCCAAAGCAAAATGAATTTTCTTTTTGACTGAAAAAAAATGTAATGGATAGAGAGGCATTAGTAAAGCAAGGTGCAAACGGTTAAAAAACACATGAGGAGGGAACAAAAAGGATGAAATGCACATTCAGTTCATCTGAGAGCAAGATCAGTTCATAAAATACTTAAAAGGAGGCCTCCTCTCTCTGTAAACCAAAAGAAAAAGATAGATAACTCTGGTACAAATGGAGGATGGACAAAAAAAAAACATTTTTAAAAGGAGAGATGTTATGAAAGGAGAAATAAAAGACAATCTGAGTGATAAAAACATGGTGTGTTAGTGTCAGCTTGTCCAGTCCGCCTTCCAGTTAAGCACAGAAACTCACACCCTCTTCCTTTCTCCGCCCACCAGATACGTGACACACCCACAACCCTCCCCTTTCCTCCCCCAGAGCCAGAAAGCTGTCATGTAACATAGCCTAGGATGCTCCTTTGCATCCTCCTGCCCTCCCTCCAAATCCAATACTTCACATTGCTTGCTGGGATATTGGTACATCTGTTTAAACTGCGAGGGGGTGGGGTGATATGCGGCAAGCCATCGTCGTTTTGGGCTGAGCAGAGTTCAGCTATGGGTCATCAGACTGTTGCAGCATGATCGTATTTTTGAGGGCAGGCTTTGAGAAAGACATTACTGGGTTTAGAGTGGCATCAAATACAAATAACAGCATCAGTCTGGTAATGTTCTAGTTCTTAAAGGGAATTAGGATGAATCAGGCACAGGAGAGAGTGCATCTGCTATGAAGTGAGATTTTTTGGAAGCGGGAGAGGCATCGATGCCAGTGCTGGGGGGATTTTACAGACGTCTCACCCAGGAGCCATGGAGCCTGAGCAGGCAGATAAGAATCACAACCTTTGTCTGAATAAAGTTGGACAAAATATGTTATGGCTGTATAAAAAACCACAATCAAAGAAAACACCAGCCCTATATCTAACCAAGGGATTTAGCAAACTGAGTTTTTTTTTATGCTTTTCAATGTGGAGATTTATAAAACTAACTTTTCTAGTGTATATCAGAATTATTAGCCCTGTGGAAAATGTAATGTTCTTTAATAAAAAATATATTTTTTTCTAAGCTTTTCAAAGAAGCATGTTCATTTTTCAATCAAATGGAAGTTAAACCTAAAAATTTACGAGGTTGCATAATTGCCTTCTTAAAGAACTCACACTGGGTGCTTCATACGGATCAAAACAAATGAAATCTAGATAACGCTTACGGCTTTCTCCCAATTTCCGTATGTTTACGACCTGAATAAAGATAGAAGCTGCCACTTGAGGAAAAGCTTTATGCTAACAAGTCAATTTAGACTTAAGAGGAAGGATTTCTATAGACAAAGATTGAACAAAAAAACGCCTGCAAGAGGTAGGAAGCTCAGAGATAATGCTGGAAAATAAACCAGTTAAAGATGTCTTTAAAAAAAACAAAACAAAAAAAACCAGAAGATTTAATTGAAGTGACAATGACTAAGCAGAGTCAGGGTGCATCATATGGCCTGACTTTCCATGGCCAGATTAAACTACAGCTCTTTAGCCATAGCTTATAATTAGAGGACGAAATGAAAACTCTATAACCCTACAGCACCACACGGTGGTGGGAGGATTATGGTTCTTACAGCTTTCTCAACAACAATAAAGTTGTTGGTTTTTCTGCAAGCCTCGCTTTGTCTGGTTTGATTAAACCTTACAGAAGTTTGACGGCTCAGACGAAAAATGAATAACTTTATTTGCTTTAGCCTCCTTCGGTATCTTCCGTTCCATTTTCATGTACTCATTAATGGCAGTGGAGCCTCCTGCTGGTGGTGCACAGCTATTACAGTGTTTCTGATTGGAATCTGACAGAATGTGCAGCTAAAAATGTATTCAAAATCAAAACAGAAAAGAAAGAGTTTAAATCAACATCCAGGTGGGGCCTTGAGTTGAGCTGCTCGTAAAAAACAAAATAAAACAAATGCAACAACACGAAACAGGATCTGACCAATATCTGTAGGTCACATGAGATTATTCCTCCCGTTTTCTTTCCGCTCACTTTCTTGGCCCTGACCTTTCCTGAACACCATGCCTCGCTTGCCACTTACACGACTTCTACTAATTACTTTATAATCTCCTTCGCCTGTGAACAAAACCGCAACACAAACATCATATGCTGCGAGGGAAGCGCTGCGTAGCGACAAACTAAAGCACAAAGTTACAAAACATACAGCCAGCATATCCAGTTTTAAAACCATCATGCTAAATAGTAACTGCGTGCTCCGAGGGATTACGATGTCAGCGAGGATATCCAGCTGTTGCTCAGACAGAATAACGTGCCACAACAAAAGTTTGGGAATGAGTCTCTGCACTCGGCATGGGGCAGCATGGGATTTTTTGTGCATGATGTAAATACCATCATCTAATGCTAATTAGAAACCATTATTTGACATATTATTATAATGCTCTGTGCAAAGGGATAAAATCTGAACATTTTGATAATTTTTTTTACATTTTGAGAGAAACAAACATCCTGGTATCTGTTGTTGTATTTACAGGAAAACGCTGTGACTCTACAGTATCTGAACACAGCAAACCAGCTCCTGTTCCTTCCACTTTCATGAAGTCAGCAGTATGAACACTTTGCATGGTAGGAAAGAAACCTCCTGATTGCTTTGCCTATTCTGGGCAGCCTTTAGCCATCATTAGGCGATGGAAAAAACACATGAATGATGCTAATTTAAATGGGACTACAGCTTTCCATATAGCGAACTACAAAAACACAAGATACACAAATGTAGTGAACATTTATTGTTCCTCATTATAAAACCCAGAACCTGTGAAGGTATGTAGATTTTCATGTTTCACACAGAGCGGGTCATGAAATAATCTGCTTTTGTTGCTTCCTGCGAGGTTTTCTAGGCCTATATGTCCTGTCATGCAAAGGATTGTGGGATTTGCTTATCATGGAAACCACTGATGCGCTCCTGCTTTGGCTAAAGAGCCCTGAGCGAAGGATGCAGCCCTAGTGCTGGATTGTTTCATGCTAACATTTTGCATGATCATGTGGTTGAGCTTTGAAGAACATACTGCCAACTAGTGGCCTGGCAGGGCAAATCCAGCATTGATAATGTTTCTAGTGTCATGCACATTGTTATTAAAATGTCTACAGAAAAAAATATCACGTTCGCAACAGATTGTTCTGACTTATGAAACCTCATTTTTATAACTAAACCGAAGCAGATAAAGATTAGAGAACTGCTAGGTTTTCAGTATTTTAAAACAGCTGACGCTACTTTAGGTTGAACAATACTGAAAAATATCAATCTGATGTTTTGCACAATAGTTGTAAACTGAGCTCTGTTTCTTTCCTCCTGAAGTACATCTTTAATTTGCTAAAGTCCTTTCTGGATTCTTTTGGTCTATTTTTACAACAGATTTTAAATACAAATTTGTAAAAAAAAAAAAAAAAAAAAATGTTTTAGCATAATATTGACTGAAAGGACCAGAAATCCAGTGAGTACATTTAAATAAAGAGATTATTCTAATAGAAATTATGTTTTATGAGACTCTTCCGATTGAAATTACCTTTGAAAATAACTTTTTAGCAGGCATTTTTACTAAAACCACATTTCTTTATAAAACTAATTGTACTGCAGTATTCTAATAATTAATATGATTGTATTAGGTAGAAGCTGAAATCATTAGAACCAGAGTAAATATGGTTTGAAACTAACAGTGTGTAGTGAAGTAGTTTATATGATGTATTTTACTTATTAAAAGGGTTACTCTGACAAATGAATTTTTAATAATAATTTAAGTGATCCAGATGCACCTTTATAACCTTTAATCCGGTAACTGGCCCATGCCTAGAGCGAGACGAGGCCGACGGATATAAAACTGCATTCAGTCTGAACAATCACCACCCATGAGAAACAGAGATGCTTCCCTAAAATGATATTTTCTCCCAGTCATTTTGGCAAATAAAAACAACAGAGATGAAGAAGGTATGGTATAAAAACGCTACATAAATATGAGATAATGTAGTTAGAAACAGCCAGCCTTCGTCCGCACCATCTACTCCAACAACCTTTAACCGTATCGGTGGTTTAACAACAATCTTTGGAGGAGAAAACCGTCATCCAGAGCCACACATCAGCTCAAAGCCTCCTGCTGCTTTTATTCCAGGTTTTCCAGTGTGATGTAAAAACTTATGTGGCGTCTCCGCTTTCCTTTGTGCAGAAATAATTGGAAATATATCTAAAAAAAGCATATGTGAAGGGAAACAAAAGAGGCTTCCAGTTTATATTTGAGAAAGGTTAAAAACGAGAAGAGGAGCCAGTTATTCAGGATCTAAAAAGTGACATTTCCAGGAGCCCTGTTAGAGCACTGCATGAGTTATCAGGTGTGTGGACACACCAACACCTGCATGTTTCCTCACATCTGCTGCAGCTTTGATCGGGGGGGCCCAAACGCCTGCCCTCCCAGAAACTTCACAAACATTCTTTCTCTGCAAAAATTACTTTTTTTTTTTATCCCATTTTTTTAAACTTTCTTCTGCCTTTTGTACATAAAACCTTTTGTTAAAAAAATCAAATATAATTAAAAACAAAAAAAAAAAAAACATAAAAGGACAGACAAAAGAAAGACAGAAAGGAGGAGTATCGGGCCCCTCTTTCCTCTTTACGCGGACGCTCTTCCTGACTCCCCGTGCTGCCTGCTCCCTTCTCTCAGGCCTCCGTCTTCTCTTTCTTTTTGTTTTTCTTCAAGAAGGACGGCGTGCGGAACTTCTTCTTCTTCTTGGTGTTGGGCGACTTAGAGGGGGAGCTTTCGGGGGACAGCGTCTCCTCGATCTTCTCACCAGAGCGCATGGTGATCTCCACGCTCTCCATGCTGGTGGTCAGCTGACTGACCCGCTTGGACAGCTCCTCGTCGTGGTTGTCCTTTCCGTTCATCAGGCCCGTGTGGTTCTCTGGAGGGAAAGGTTTAAGACATTGTAAAGGCAGTACTTATTATTTTTATTTTTACTTTGAGGTCAGTTGGCCTGTTAGCCATATTGTAGCGCCCACTGCTACACACTGATCTAATGACCATTGCTTCTAAAGAAACACAGTTCTGTAGTTATGAAGCTACACCATTAAATTTGATCACAAATATGGAGACAGGAAATCCTAAAATACCAAGTCTGAAATAATTTTTCATGCATTATTTATCTCCTGAGGACTTAGAATTACCCCGTATTTCCACATATGGTGGTTCTGATTCCAGTTTGGCCCAGTTACCCCATCTTATGGTGAAAACATACACTCACCGGCCACTTTATTAGGTACCCCATGCTAGTAACGGGTTGGACCCCCTATTGCCTTGAGAACTGCCTCAATTCTTCGTGGCATAGATTCAACAAGGTGCTGGAAGCATTCCTCAGGGAGTTTGGTCCATATTGACATGATGGCATCACACAGTTGCCGCAGATTTGTTGGCTGCACATCCATGATGCGAATCTCCCGTTCCACCACATCCCAAAGATGCTCTATTGGATTGAGATCTGGTGACTGTGGAGGCCATTTGAGTACAGTGAACTCATTGTCATGTTCAAGAAACCAGTCTGAGATGATTCCAGCTTTATGACATGGCGCATTATCCTGCTGAAAGTAGCCATCAGAAGTTGGGTACATTGTGGTCATGAAGGGATGGACATGGTCAGCAACAATATTCAGGTAGGCTGTGGCGTTGCAACGATGCTCAATTGGTACCAAGGGGCCCAAAGAGTGCCAAGAAAATATTCCCCACACCATGACACCACCACCACCAGCCTGAACCGTTGATACAAGGCAGGATGGATCCATGCTTTCTTGTTGTAGACGCCAAATTCTGACCCTACCATTCGAATGTCGCAGCAGAAATCGAGACTCATCAGACCAGGCAACATTTTTCCAATCTTCTATTGTTCAATTTCGATGAGCTTGTGCAAATTGTAGCCTCAGTTTCCTGTTCTTAGCTGAAAGGAGTGGCACCCGGTGTGGTCTTCTGCTGCTGTAGCCCATCTGCCTCAAAGTTCGACGTACTGTGCGTTCAGAGATGCTCTTCTGCCCACCTTGGTTGTAACGGGTGGTTATTTGAGTCACTGTTGCCCTTCTATCAGCTCGAACCAGTCTGGCCATTCTCCTCTGACCTCTGGCATCAACAAGGCATTTCCGCCCACAGAACTGCCGCTCACTGGATGTTTTTTCTTTTTCGGACCATTCTCTGTAAACCCTAGAGATGGTTGTGCGTGAAAATCCTAGTAGATCAGCAGTTTCTGAAATACTCAGACCAGCCCTTCTGGCACCAACAATCATGCCACATTCAAAGTCACTCAAATCACCTTTCTTCCCCATACTGATGCTCGGTTTGAACTGCAGGAGATTGTCTTGACCATGTCTACATGCCTAAATGCACTGAGTTGCCGCCATGTGATTGGCTGCTTAGAAATTAAGTGTTAACGAGCAGTTGGACAGGTGAACCTAATAAAGTGGCCGGTGGGTGTAGTTACACTTACCCTGTGGACGAGGATCCAGATCCAGTTAGTAAAACCCTGACAGGTTTGGCTTCTTCCTGTTAACCAATCAGCCTTCATTTCTGTGTTATGGAGCTGAAAATGGTTCTAAACTCTGTACAGGATTTTCATTTCCAGGATCTGGATTATGATTAGTGGTTCTAGACAGGGTCCAACAGGGGGCCAATGTCCCTATAGAACTGGTCCTCACCGCCGTTATGGCCCTTATACTGAAGACATAATATTAAATAAATGTCTAATTAGGATAAGCGCTGTCATGGAAACTATAACTGATTAATTCAACCAGTTTACAGTTTCATTTCAATAATTATTTTGCTAAAAATTAGCCGCTCCACTTTGATCTATTATATCTTAGTTGCCAATTGCTGCAGGTGCCTCTTTGGCTCTCTTAATATATCGAACGATGTATTATTGCCCTTTTTTTTGTTTTGTTTTTTTAACTCTATGTGATGATTTTCTCATCACAGAATATTCTTATTATGAATATGCTGGATTATAATCCATCTATTTTAATCTATGGACCCTTACGGATAAATGGTAATGATATTCAATCTAAGATCGCCTCAGGATCTCTTAAAAGGCAGGAAGCCTAAAAAATTCTGATTTCATATGCTGCTGTATCTTTATTAATTGTGCTTTAGTGTTGAGGGTGTCCATAAAATTACATAACATGTCTATATTGGTAAAAGTTTGAGCTCATGTGTACTGTTGTGATTAATAGGCATTTATATATAATAGGTCGCTGGCAGGCTGGTGGAGTTTAATAGGCTAGAATCCACTATGGATTATCCACTACTGTTCTAACCTAAAATACTCTAAAAGCAAATGTTTGCAAACAAGATTATCTTTCAATAAAAATGGCTTAAGCAGGTTTAGTTTGCCCCTAAATAAACATGATCATCATATCAGCAGATGGTTATCGGATTTTTTTAACACCTGATCAGTGAGAAATGACTTTAAGAAATGGCATTGCGTTTGACTTTAGAAGTTCTCAGACAAACTTTAATGCATTAAAATGTTATGGTAAACAATTTGATCATAAAATGAAAAAAAATGGGTTCTAAGAAGTTGAATTGTACTGCATTTTAGCCCTGCTGCAAAATGGTCTGCTGGTATCATTTCAGTGACCTTCCTGTTAGCTCAGGGTTAAGTGTTAACGAGGACAGAGCAGCTCCGATTACTCAGAAGCAGGACGGCTGGTTTAAAATGGAGCATTTATTCTGTAAATACAAATGCTTTTTTCTCAATGTTTCTGGATAAAATATGGAAAATAAAAAGCTCAGTCTTAGAAAATTTGCACCCGACTGTGAAAAGCATCAGTTTAAAATCTAAACAGTTTTTGTCCACTATGCCATTTCAGCAGCCATCTTCACCCAGATACACTAATTCCCATCAACCCGCGCTGAATGTCCGCTTATCATGCTCCACAAATTTTTTAATATCCCTTCATTAAAATAATGAATGAATAACGAAAAAACAGCGACCCAATAACCCAGAGTCTGTCCTTCTTTTCAAATGAACAAAACATTGCTGTGAAACCCACTCTCGTAATAACAGGTCACGTAACGCCTCTGATTCAGCGTCGTGTCCTTTTCTTTGCAGGCCAGAGGATCCAGGGCGCTGATATAATGTTACAGCATCAAGCGCTGCCGACCTACCTGTTTGTTTACACCTTAAAACACATGGTGATTCAAATGAGCACAGCACAAGAACCGGCTGACCCTGGAAGGTGGCGTCAGAATATACGGGTCCCCTGAGTTAGAAGGCTGTCATAGGGGTAATTGCCATTGTGTGGTTTTGCGTGTTTGCGCTGGAAGGAAGCTGACAGGAACTCAATCCCAGGGTGCTATTATTTACCACTGCTAATGGGCCTGGTGGGATCTCTGTGTCTCTTTGAGGGGCATTAACCAGTGTGAAGTGTCAGATGTGAGAAGCGACGAGTTAAAGGAGAAAATACTGTAAGTCAACAGAGTAGCCGGCACCAGATCATGATAACAGTGGTAAACAAAGCCTCTTTTCCCCACAATGTTAGAGGCAAACACGTGTTTAGTTACAATATAAAATTAGTTATTTTCTGAGAAAAAAAGCTTCTCAAATTGTCTCCTTTTGACTTCAATTTGGTTGTAAAATAAACTAAACAGACTACATGTGCATTTCCTAAATGATTTAGTTGCATGCATGGGGCTCCTTTTGTATAGTTAATAATTTAATGCATTTCATTCTCGCTAAAAATACAAAGCAGAGTAAACTGCCTGCTTTGCTTCTGGACTTGGACTGGGCAGACCGAGTGGCTGCTGTCGTATGGAAGACGTCATACTGCTCCATGTTAGGGTCATAAACTGAAAGCTTCTCTTTCATGGTGTTCTGCTTGAGATCAGGGTTCATGTTATGACAAGTGATCATAACTTTGAATCAATTTGACTGGATGATCTGGTTGAACTGTAAAGTGCCTTGAGATGACTTGTGTTGTGAATTGGCGCTATAGAAATAAACTGAATTGAATTGATCAAAGTTCTGAGTTGTGTTTTTATAAAATGCTTGGGTAGATTTTTGTTGTTTTTTTAAACCTGGAACTTCACCTGCAAAATGGTTTGTTAAAAACTTGTTTCTGGAGAAAATTCCCACTTTGATGAGGGGAAAATTAAAGTTTAATTAAGATTTTCATGGGGGGGACTATATTTACTCAGATAGCCAGGATGGTTGGAACAAATTTATTTCTTTATTTTATTTGTTTTAGAGTCCTTTTTTTTTTTTTTATAAAAGCCTTTAAAACATTTAAACACATAACGTTCATTTAATTTATTTATGTGAAAGTGGTTTCATAGTCATAATTTCCAGCTGGATTATTTTAAATGTTTAAAATAGCAGACAAACTGTAAATCTAACATCCTAAATCCTAAATATTCATCGTTTTAGTCCAGCTCCTCACATAACTTAATAAAAATGACATACAGGTGCTGGTCATAAAATTAGAATATCATGAAAAAGTAGATTGATTTCAGTAATTCCATTTAAAAAGTGAAACTTGTATATTATATTCATACATTACATACAAACTCATATATTTCAGATGTTTATTTTGTTTAATTTTGATCATTACAAATGACAACAAATGAAAATCTCAAATTCATCATATCAGAAAATTAGAATATTACTGAAGACCAATAAAAACAAAGGATTTATAGAAATGTTGGCCAACTGAAAAGTATGAACATGAAAAGTATGAGCATGTACAGCACTCAGTATTTAGTTGGGCCTCCTTTGGCCTGTATTACTGCAGCAATGCGGCGTGGCATGGAGTCGATCAGTCTGTGGCACTGCTCAGGTGTTATGATAGCCCAGGTTGCTCTAATAGTGGCTTTTAGCTCTTCTGAATTGTTGGGTCTGGTGTATTGCATCTTCTTCTTCACAATACCCCATAGATTTTCTATGGGGTTAAGGTCAGGAGAGTTTGCTGGCCAATTAAGAACAGGGATACCATGGTCCTTCAACCAGGTACTGGTAGCTTTGGCACTGTGTGCAGGTGCCAAGTCCTGTTGGAAAATGAAATCTGCATCTCCAAAAAGTTGGTCAGCTGCAGGAAGCATGAAGTGCTCTAAAACTTCCTGGTATGTGGCTGCGTTGACCCTGGACCTCAGAAAACACAATGGACCAACACCAGCAGATGACATGGCACCCCAAACCATCACTGACTGTGGAAACTTTACACTGGACTTCAAGCAACGTGGATGAAGTGCCTCTCTTCTTTTCCTCCAGACTCTGGGACTTTGATTTCCAAAGGAAATGCAAAATTTACTTTCATCAGAGAACATGACTTTGGACCACTCACCAGCAGTCCAGTCCTGTTTCTCTTTAGCCCAGGCAAGACGCTTCTGACGCTGTCTGTGGTTCAAGAGTGGCTTGACACAAGGAATGCGACAGCAGAAACCCATGTCTTTCATACGTCTGTGTGTGGTGGTTCTTGAAGCACTCACTCCAGCTGCAGTCCACTCTTTGTGAATCTCCCCCACATTTTTGAATGGGTTTTGTTTCACAATCCTCTCCAGGGTGCGGTTATCTCTCTTGCTTGTACCCTTTTTTCGACCACATCTTTTCCTTCCCTTCGCCTCTCTATTAATGTGCTTGGACACTGAGCTCTGTGAACAGCCAGCCTCTTTAGCGATGACCTTTTGTGTCTTGCCCTCCTTGTGCAAGGTGTCGATGGTCGTCTTTTGGACAACTGTCAAGTCAGCAGTCTTCCCCATGATTGTGTAGCCTATAGAACTAGACTGAAAGACCATTTAAAGGCTTTTGCAGGTGGTTTGAGTTAATTAGCTGATTAGAGTGTGGCACCAGGGGCCATCAATTTTGAACCTTTTCACAATATTCTAATTTTCTGATATGATGAATTTGAGATTTTCATTTGTTGTCATTTGTAATCATCAAAATTAAACAAAATAAACATCTGAAATATATGAGTTTGTATGTAATGTATGAATATAATATACAAGTTTCACTTTTTAAATGGAATTACTGAAATCAATCTACTTTTTCATGATATTCTAATTTTATGACCAGCACCTTTAAATAATGAAAAAAAAAATGGATATCCAACTCCTTAGTGACGGATATCTATGACAAAGGTTTTTAAAGGTTTTAAATTTGCTAGCCTGTTGGATTTCTCTTCTCCAACTGATAGAACTGATCTCTTTTCTCCTAATGAATCCAATCAAATGATAAATGGTTTTATTTTTGACAAAATAACTTACTGTACACAATTATTTGCATTTGGGTGTGAACATACAGACAAAAAGTATCATATTCATCTGAAAATGTTTTTTTCCACTGAAATATTAGTTCAGAATTAAGCTATAACCTGAATATGTAGAATAAACCCTGCATGTAAAAAAAAAAAAAGTAGTTTAAAATTCACAGTCATGCCAAAGTATTAGCAAACATCAGATTAAAGAGGCAAACAGCTCTGCATCGACCTCTCTCTGTGTGAGCGATACCTTCTTTAGCCGGAGTGATTTGCGGAGACTGCGTGACAGACAGAGACTGAGAGAGAGTGGAGCCGTCGTCGGAGGTTAGCTCGTGCTCGCCATCTGCAGGGAGGTCGGTGGGGTGGAGGGGGGGGTTAGGGTTGCAGGAGGGTGTTTGAGTGCAGTGGGGGTGGGTTGGTATAAAAGGGACGACAGAGGGGATGAGTGGGATGAGAGGGTGGAGGGATTTGAGATGGAAGAGATTAGTCATAACACAGAGGCAGACAGACACATGTTAGAATCAGGCCATGCACAGCTGCTTTCCCACAAAACTTTCAAAATAAAGGTTCCCTTGTCTGTTGATCACCAGGCTCTCTTTCCTCCAGCCACCTTTCTATGAGTCCGCCTTGAAACACGCTAGGCCCTAATATGCTTTCCAGCACCACTGATCTGAGCATTGATGTGATCCTCATGTAAAGCTGCTATAAGGCCTAAAAATTATGCAGTGATCTAAGATGAATAACAAATATTTAAAGGGTAACTCGACCCACAGCATAACAGAACCTCCACTGTACTGTAAAGCAGGAAGTAATGTTTCATCCGCTGTTTTAAATTAGTCCCGTCTGATTCTGTCTAATGGTCCCAATATTGTCTCCTACCATCAAGCTTCTGATAAGTTTTCTGTACTTATCAGATTTTAATCTGGCATAGATTAGAAACAGCCAGCTTGTAGGTAGTGTAAAGCAGGGGTGTCAAACTGGTTCCAGAAAGGGCCGAGTGGCTGCAGGTTTTCTTTCCAACAAGCAATAGCACACCAGACTCCATTCATCTCATCAAGTGAGTTCAATCTGAACATGATGACTTGATGAAATGACTGCAGTCTGCTCTGCTATTGCTTGGTTGGAAAGAAAACCTGCAGCCACTCGGCCCTTTCTGGAACCAGTTTGACACCCCTGGTGTAAAGGTTCTTATGCAGACTCTCTGACTCCAAGATGCCACATAGCAGTTTTTTTTAACGTCTCTTACCATCCTGCAGACTGCGCATAGCGGCAAGGTAATTTCAGCTCCTCATACATAAATACGAGTAACATCAACTAAGTGTTCTTATACCAGTTTTCTGACTTATTAAGATCTACATACAGAACATCTGCAGGACATACACTGCTGCTTTGATGAGCCTGTGAGTTCTGGATTAAATATTATAACCTCAAAATAATCCAGTCAACTTTAATTAGGGAAATTAAAAAATGCCTTAATGGTATTTATTTTTGTGAAATTTGAAGGGACGTTACTTGTGGGGGATTTTGGTGAAAAAAGATTTCTTAACTCAGCTTATAGTTTATCCATTAGCAACTTCCACCTTCAGCTGACATCTATTACTGTCCTTTGCAGCTCCTCTTAACGCACCATTTACAGAGAGGTTGTGCAGAAACCTGGTTCGTACGGTTCAGATGTCTCATCACATATTCTCCATGTGGGACATGAAGGTGGAAACTGGTTACATAATCAATTTGAAGAGATGAAGTACCATCATTTTTTTAATCTTATAACAAAGTCTCTTTATAGATGCTCTTACATATCCTATAACCACATGTTTTTTTCTGTTTTAAATGCTGAGCAGTCGCTCTGTTCAGGAGACAATCAGAAATCAAAGCGGTGCATGTCAGCGTGTCTGCATGTGTGCAGGCCTCTCCAGACGGACTTCAGCTTGCATCCAGATGGGTCACCGGGGATTCATGGGGCTGTGGGGGGTAACAGTGTCATAGCAACGGGCTGCGCTCATGTGGCGGGTGTGAAGACCTGCTGTCGGTTCAGTCTGCCATCTTAGTCACGCAGGCCTTTTCATATGCACACAGCAGTACAGAACATTTGGACGTGTACCGTCCACATGCATGAACACATGCCCTCGGTCGTACACACTCCCACGTGAAACAACCACATTTCAATCTGGTCCAATGCGCCTGCAGCTCTGCAGAGTGAACCCCTCCACCACTGTCTGCCTACTATTGACGTTCTGCTTTCCTTTCTGAAGAGATAATATGATTAAAATTGACTTTAAGCGTAAGCAGACAGAACACGGTTATAGAAGTAGAAATGTTTATAAGGACAAACTCTTGGATTTTAAAGTTGTCAGAATCAATCAGAATGCTGTTTAACATGCAGAGCTTCAGGTTTACCACCAGTGCAGAGCTTATGGGAACCAAATCTGATTCAAGATGGGAGAAACTAATCTGTATGTGGACATTCAGGGGTGAGGGGGTACTGTAGAGCACAGTTTAATCCAGATTAGGTTAAAGATCATCTGGAAATCTGCTCCAGATGTTTGCTCTGATCTGCCAGTTAGCACGCTGAACAGATTTCAGCAGGGCTGCAGGAATGCATGAAGATTAGTTTTTAAACACACTGCAACAAATGACTGCTGTGAATTTGTCAGAAACATTAAACATGGATCAGACAGAATTTTTTTTTTTTGTAAAGATACGTAAACTAAAGGAGTAAAGTTTAGAACGAAGAGCTTTAAAAGTGTTTTACTCTTTTTGTGTGGCTTCAGAGAAACCTGAAGGTGCTGTGCTGCAGAGAGGGACTGGACTTCTGGGTTCTTGTTTAGAATGAAATGTTTGGGCCAGTTAGTTAGTTAGTTCTTCCTTCATATGCATCGGTCTCCAGTTCTCAGCTTCTACTACTTTATAATTAGCATAAAAATATCTTCAAAACAAGATCTTTTACTTTGGTTATAATGATGCACAAAAAAAGGGAGCAAGCATTCATTACAATGAACAGAGTTCAGCTGAGCGTGTGTGAGCATGGATTTATTAGTGTGTGTGTCTGTGTGTCGTACCGCTGAGGCCAAGTTGCCTTCTCTCCATGTTTTTGTGGGACTCCTCCTTTTCCAACAGCTCGCTGAACGGGTTGGGAGGAAGAGGAGCCATCTGCTCCTCCTCTGTGGGCACGTATGGCTGAGGAGGAGGGGAGGACAGGGGGAGCAAAGGGTGAGCGCAGGAGCACAAGCAGAAACGCTGACTGTTCACCACAAACATCTGAGTGCATCTAATAATCCAATACATGGTAATCCTTTCATCAAACTCATACAGCAAGCTACAGCGCTCCACATCTGCTGACATCTGTGTTCAACAACAGGTCATGAACGCTTCTCATGCTCTAAAAAGAAACACCGTGGATCAACAAGTCCAGATAAGGAGGGAAACTTTTCCAAAATAAACATAACACTGGTGCAAACACAGAAAAATAAAAGTCAGTCTCCAGGCACGACTACATGCGATGTTCCAAAAGAAAACTAAATTAAATAAAAGCAACTGCAAACAACAATGGACAGGATGATGCTGGGAATATTTACCGGCGCGCCTATTTGCCCAGCTTCCTTTAAGGCAAAACACAAATAAAGAAGAAGAAGAAAAAACAGGGAATCAGTCCCCAAATGTGTGGCTGAGAGATTTATTTTATATGTTTGTAATGCTTTAGTCCAGCTTTCCATGATTGTTTGTGTCCCCCTAGTGGCCTAAGAGAATAATGGATAAAAGACCAACTTGTTATATGAGGCCTGTAAAGCTTTGGGTGGCGGTGTCCATCAATGTGAATCTTAACAATAGAATATTGTCTAAAGGAAAAAATTAAAACAGAAATGAGGGAGAAACTGTCCTGCAGAGAGATATTCATTAACTCCCTTCACATGGAGGGAACCCGCCACATAAAGAAGCTGGCTTTTCAGAGCACTGTAGCCAGAATAAATGGGAAAAAAGGAAAGTTGAATAAAAGGATAAAAAGGGTTTGTAAACGGGCAACTGCAGCCTCAAGAGGATTGTGAAGAAAATTCTGTTATAAATATTTACAATGTTTGGAGGGCTAGAGAGAGTCGCCACACGCAGATTAGAACATTGGGTACAACTATTGCCTTTCTTCACTTAAGCCTATTCTGGAGCAGAGGTAACTGGAACAGTAGCTGCTAAAAGCTCTGAAGTCCTTTTTTTGGATGGATATAAAGTTTCAATGTAAAACAAGAGTCTGGAGGAAGAACTTAGAGGGACCAAATCCAAGAAAGATTTCAACAGTCAGTGATGTTTTCAGGAGTTATTTCATCTGCTGGTGTTCACTGTGTGTATTAAGTCCAAATTCAGTGCATCAGTTTGTCAGGAAACTTAACAAAAACCTGGACTTCCTAAACGTATCACCTCCATTTAACGCTGCAATGATGCAGCAATTCATGTAACCAAATACGCAGGTACATTTATGTACAGATTAACTTATACTGCATTCCTGTATTACATCTAAATCGTCTTCATTGGTCAATTTTATAATTCTAACCTGATTCTTGGATGCATTTGGAATGTTAACTTACTCCTTATGTTCATGCACTGCTGTTAACAGATTGCTTCAGATTGTAATAAATTTAAACTTAATGTAAACAAATAAATCCACAAAATCTCATTAAAAATGTGACCAGAACATTTGTTCAATTGTCAAGATCTGCAGTAATCCTTAAATTGTGCATTTTCAATAAACTTTTTAAACGTGAAATAAAATATAAGTTGAATAAAATCACATTGTCTTGTTTAAAACCTTTCTTCTTACTTTGTCTCTTGGTTCTGAGCTACAGAACCCGTAAAAAAAGAACACAGGTGCAGAGTTTCTCTGTGGAGCAATGTTTGTGGCGTTTATCTACATTAGAAGCTCATTCTCACCTGGCGCGGCTGATCGACAGGAATCCCAGCGAGGTGCTGAGACCGCGGGCCTGATGTCATCACATCTAACCGGTTCTGCTCTCTGATCTGGAACGGGACAAACAAATGAAAAACAGAGATGATATCAGCAGGTTCGAAGAGAGTAAAACTACTATTTCCTCCTAATATATAAATCATATATCTTTAATAACTTAAAATAATAGAACATTTTCTGATAAGGAAAATCAGCTGTGTTTGTTTACATTTGATATTGTTCAGTTGGTTCTGTTGCTCAAACACATGATGTGAAACTGGTTCATGTATCAGTATCAGTGTTGGACATCAAAATGTAAAAACTAGAGCAAGTAGCCTGGATGAGTGTTGAGCTCAAAGTTTGTCATGTTGTTTTGTATGATGGGAAGGATGGCATCAAAGCCTCCAAATCTCAAACATAACAATTAGATGCTGCCTAGTTGCTATCTAGTCGTTTGAGAGGCCTGGAAGAAAACAAAATGTCAGAGGAAGTTTTCTGCGTCTTTATTTAATAATGTTTAACTTAATCATGGGAGACTTCAGGGTTCCTAAAAATTTGAAAAGTTCTGCATTAGATAAATAAAACCACAAAAACCTGAATCAGACAAAATAATTTCAGCATTTCCAGATTATTCTATTGTTTAAATGTTTTGCCCTCCCTCCCTCCCTCCCTCCCTCCCTCCCTCCCTCCCTCCCTCCCTCCCTCCCTCCCTCCCTCCCTCCCTCCCTCCCTCCCTCCCTCCCTCCCTCCCTCCCTCCCTCCCTTCCTTCCTTCCCTCCCTCACCCCCTTATTGGATATTTTTTATCACTCCAGTGCAGGTAATTTCAATGATCATCTCTTCTTTTTTGACTAAATGTCTGAGAAGCCCTTTTGTTTAGTTCAGAGTCGAGTTTTAAATCAGGCGTAGATTAAATGACATCTCTTTTTGTGTACTCATGATGGAAGCCTTTTAAACGGTTACTGAGCTAAAGCTACATATTTTGGAAGAATCCAACAAAAAGAAGCTGAACTCACTTTGTTCCTCTTCTGCTGCACCTCGGTGGGGTCTGTGTTCAGAGGGACGAACTGGTTGGGGTCCTCAATGCGGATCGGAGTTCCGCTTTCATCCGCTTTCATCCACTGTGAAAGGTAGAAGATTAGGATCAAGAACAAATTGTTTTGTTAACCACAGGAGAGGGGATAAAGAAAATACAGAAAGCTGTTATAAAGTACCTTATATATATATATATATATATATATATATATATATATATATATATATATATATGCTAAATACTCTGATATAGTAGGTGGTGGTATGCACCTAAAAGTCAAGGTTGTAATCTGCCATTAAACTAATAGAAGAAGAAGAAGAATCTCTTTGCTCAGTGTCGGGTTGGTAGTTTCCTGTTCCACCACTAGATGGAGCTCTATGTTTGAGAAGGAAGGGCTGACTGCTTTGCTTTGCCTGCAGGACCCTCATTGTGCTCACCGTGGTGGTCCTGCTGCAGCGCTCCTCTCCGGCCTCCACGCTGACCTTGGTGTAGCTGTTAGGGGAGTTCAGCCAGCGCGTCTTCTCCCTCTGCTGTCGCTGCTGTAGGAACTTGAAGGGCAGCCGAGTGGCGTCACCGTCCTCCTCAAACGTGAACGCGGTGACGGTGGCGGGGATCTCCACTTCGCTCTTATGCCTCGGCTTCTCTCGAATGATGGGGTGTCTGTAGGCGTAACCCGTCCTGTAGCCCTGAGGATGGGAAAGGACAGAAATGACTTCATTCCTGCAGGTTTTTTTATGAAGTATGCAGTACCTTTCCCTTCTCCTTATGACACAGCCCCTCATTTTGGGGCACTGTGGTTTATTGGAAATACAATGATGCACGTTTCAGAATATATTTCAATCTAAAAAAGTCATACGGAAGGAAAAGACAATTAGAAGAGTTTTATTGATACAATTACTTCAGTCTTTGGCGCTCAGACCTCGGCAGGAAACACTGGTGCAGAATTTGCTTTGATATGCATAAACAGGAGTAAATAGGGATGTTTCACCCAAGGCCTGAAACTGGTGGCGGAGTGGAGAGGATGAAGTTGGTCGGTCTGTAGACTGCTGGTTAGCGAGACAATATGCTTGAGCTGTATGAAGAACTCCGGTGTGCTGCGTCAGCTGATACTAGTGCTTCACTTTGGGACCTGGAAGATGGAAGTCCAGCTTGGATAACACAGGTTGAGAGACCCTGTCCATGATGAGCAAGCATGAAGCGACAGTGGAGAAGAAAAACTCCCCTTTGGGAAGAAACCTCTGTTAGAACCAGGCTCAACATGGCGGTCTTCTGCTGGACCGGTTGAAATGGGACAATGAAAGCAGAAAGAGTCCAGTAGGAATGACACTCTGATGAAGCTTTAGCTACGAGGGTGGAGAAGGGGATGGAGGTGGGTTAAATCGGGATGAATTGGGTTATAGCGCAACTGCCTGCACTTCAGGCACCTTTGATGAGATGTGGATTGGAGTCCCTTTTAAGATGAACTATGGATGCTGATTGGCCCGTGACAAAGGCGAATAGTAATGGTTTCTTCAGTTGAACTTCCGCCTAGGCTCCATTTAGCAAAGAAATGAAACAAAACCCATTTGGCAGCCGGAAAACAGGCCATGTGGGAAGAAGAACTAACACTGAACCATAAAGCAACATCCCCACCACGAAACATGGAGGTGACCGTATCATGGGGAGGTGGATGGAGCTAAATACAAGAGGATCCGAGACGGAAAAAAAACTATTAGAGGCTGAAAAGGATTTGAGCTCCAGTCTGACAATGAATCTAAGCAAAACCCCCAGAGCCGCTAGTAAAATAAATCACATTCTTCTGTTAGAGGGGCCTAGTCAAAGCATGGGTCTAACTGCAAGTTTAGAGTACCTGGCAAACCTTTTAAAAGTATCTTCCCAGACACTTTCTTCTCAAACCCACAGAGCTTCAGCTGTTTTTAAACAGGAGACGGATTAATCCTGGTAGAGGCGAGCCAGGACGACTACAGCTGGAAGTCCAGGGAAGAATTGATACAGGAAGGCACGAGGTAAAAATACACATAAAACTAAATCAATTAAGAATTTTTAAAATTTTACTCTTTTTCTCCAGCTTATATTGTCATTACACTGTCATAAGTACAGCCCATCAAAATGAACTCTCTTAATCCATTCCCTTGGGGAGCAGTGGACTGCCATTGTGCGGTGCCTGTGGAGCAATGTGGGGTTAAGGGTCAGAGTGGCAGAATGTGGGAGTAGAGCTTGAACTCGAACCTCTGGATTCTAGGCACAATGCCCTAACCACTAGGCCACCACTCCCCAAAACACATCATCTCTCCCTTTACACTTTAAAATCACGCAGATTTGTGGCTGTAAAAGATAAAGACTTTTGAAACATTTCAGGGAGCTGACAGCTTTCAGCAGTCACTTCTTTTACTAATTGCTGCTGTTACTATCAGTATTGTGGGTAATTCTTTGACGTCACCTTCCTATTAAGCTGGTTTTTTCTCAGGTTGTGAGTCACAAGGACAAAAAACAAACACAAAGTAGCGCGGTAGCTGCAGGGTTTCAAACGCAGCAGAGGACAGCCTCAGCTTCATTTCCTCTCTCGTCCATCTCGCTCTGCCCCGCTGTTCACTCGCCCTTCACTTCATCCTCATTCCTCCATTATCCCCTCACACATTCCCATTTCCTCTCACTCGGTTGTGCCACTGCTGTTTTTTTTCAGTCAACTTTCCACACGCAGCTTTTCTTTTCATCTGCTCCCCGCGGTCAAAGCTGACCTTTCAACTTGGCTTCATCGCCCAGCTCAGCTGGCAGAGATCCTTTTTCCGGCAACATCCTGCTTTTCCAAGCCGACGTTTCGACACAATCACAGCTGGAGGCTGGAAATCAAGAGGAGAACAACTCCTCCTCTGTCGCGCTCTGTCTCATCACTGTCTCGGCCTCTTGAGTCAAGGCCAACAACTTCCACAGACTCAATGAGTCAGGAGAATAAGGAGGGCAATGTTTACAGGCAGCTTTACTCACCACTCTGGAATAAGAGACATGCATTGATTACATGATTTAAGCAGCTGTAACTCTGCAGCTCCTCCAGAGTTACAGGTGCCTCTTAGTCAGTTTAACTGGATGGCCCGAGTCCTCTGAAAGACTTTTACAGGTGGGATATTTTTGTTTTTTTGTTTCTGATCTATATAATGTGTTTCTAGAACTTCAGGCTTTCTTTCACATATTTAAATGCCATCATCATGGCTCACATTACCTGCTGTTTGTCTTGCTGGGCTCAGACCAATTAGACAGCACTCAAACCTCTGGGATCGCTTTATAATCAGGCTCAAGATAATCCATAAAAAGACCTCTCCATTATCATCACTGTAATATTATCAGTTAATACAAAATATCCAGTTTCAATCATTTAATCTGTTACACAAGTTTAAGAATAGTCTTCAAAATATTCCAAAAAAAGTCGAAAACAAATCACTAGACTTTGTTTCCTGGATGGGAAACGAAATGCTCCAAACTTCAAAGTCCAGTGGTTTGTTATTTGCTTTTTTTTTTGATTCACTATGGCCTGGATGAGTGAGAAGCTCCACCCCTACAGAAACAATTCATTATACTTTACACTCTCAGAAATTATTCCATTCCACAAAGATATCTGCCTCTGCACAAAAGCTTTTCTTTTAAACTCCAGATTTTTCGCATTGTGGGAGAATAAAGGGATTTTCTATTCTGTTCTATTTTAAGATCATCAGACATCAGCATCCCCCCAGCTAAACTATAAACAAATTTCCAACTGGATGTGCCTATATATTTATATTTACTGTACTTCTTAGTATTTTAGATTCACTGTAATGTGTTTTTAAATGTGTGTCCCTGCTTTGGAAGAAGCCATAGCTAACTCTGGTTTACACTGTCCATGGTAAATAAACTAATACACTAAACTAAGCCACACTACAGCTGAGTTTATACTAACATTACATTATTATTAACACAGACTCCTGATTACACCTGATTAGTTTTATTAAATGAAGCTTCAAACAGAGCTAAAAAGAAACATTTGTCAGGTTTTTATTTGAAAAAAATTCCCTTACCGGCCTTATCCTTACTTAGAAACTTACTTAGAAAAGAACTTTAAAAACGGTTGTAGTAGAACACCTACTGCTTCTAGAAGCATTTCAAATAACACTTTTTAACCAGGCATCCTGACCAAGACCTGCAGGAAGCAGAGATTCAGTAAAGCTTTAACTTCCTCAATCAGGGCAGCTAATTAATGAGACGGGCCATGCAGATATTTCATCAGCTGTCTGATTCCAAACAGATCCATAAACTCACCAGATTATCCAGCATCCTCATCAGGGACTCAAACTCCAGCTCCCCGATCTTCCACTTGTACTGCCCAGACATGTTGACGGCTGCAGCATTAGCCACAGCAAAAACTCTGGATTTATACTTCTCAGGATCCAGCACTATGAGGTTGTCCACCCCTCCAGCACACGAGATAGCATTCACCTGAAAACCATAAAGATTGGAAAGAAATTAGCTTCTGTTATCGACTGATGTCTGTCGCTTAGATCATACGCTGAACTGGAACTGAGCTTATTTTTGCATGAGGGAAGGATGTGATTCAACACAACTAAAGATGCGATTGTACAGAATCTGAGAGGAAAGCAGCTCAGCAGATACACAGCTCGACATACAGCGAACTCATCCCAGGGGATTTATTTGTAGAATTTAAGCCAGGCTTTGCAAGATGGATTAATGTTTTTCTTTTTCCTGACAGGGTGAGAGTCATTTGGGAGATTTGGTGTGGCATATTAGAGAACAAGGGGAGGAAGGGCAAAACATAAACACACACACACCCACACACACATATATATAACTGAGTGGACGGCCGCGCAATTCCCGCTCTGGAGGATGTTCTCTCATCCGCTCCGCTGCTCAAAGTTGCGCCAGGACGCTCCGCTCAAAAACCGTTCCGAGCTCACCCAAATTTTCCTGCCGCTCCGGCGAAATCATTCCACACTCGCTCAAATTTTGAGGAGAAGGAATTTTCTGACATTTTTCCTTTCATGTTATTATGCCAGGGCCCTGAGGCACACAGCGTTTGATTTAATGATATGACCGATAAATGTGTATCGTCTTACTTAACTGGCTGGTAAATTATCGCACTGTTTCCCAGCTGTGAACGTAACACCTCGCTCCATTCATGTTGCCCCGTGTTTCCTATTTAATTATTAATTTATGTTACTAGACTACATTCAAAAAGGTCACTTCGCATCCCATTGAAAATGAGATAATGGCGTATAATGCAATGCATTCTATTTTCAAAAACAGGCTCTTACCACAAGGATCATGCTATGTAAACCCACTCTGTATTAAGTATAGTTAGTGTATGTTTTTATGATACTTTATCCCACTTTTTAATCAAACTATATCCAATCCTCCTCTCCGCGATAAAGTTGAAACATATTACAGATATATAACACAGATTATATATAACACAGGTTATATATAACACAGGTTATAGGCACAGACTGCAACATAGGCATTAGCCTAGGTTTTAAGTCAAACATGAATTTAAATAAAGTCGGAGCGAATTGTAACGGAGCAAAAACCTCCCTCCAGGTTTTGAATTGAAAACCGCTGTGCGCTCCACCATATTTCTTTCGCTCTGAGGTATGTATGTGTATATATATATATATATATATATATATATATATATATATATATATATATATATATATATATATATATATATATATATATATATATATATATATATCTCTGTGCATGCGGTGGATGGTTGGATTGATGGATGGGTGGATGATTTGTTACATAAAAACCCCAAACTTTTATTCAGTGTAATTAAAACCATGCTTTGCTTTCCTTCCATTTTACAGCTATGCCCCACTCTGTCTCAGTCTATTGCATAAATACACCAATAAAACACGTTTAAGTTTGTGGTTGTAGCATGGCTTGATGTAAAAAACCCACATCAGACTGTCCCTCCCTTCATGAAACTCCTAATAGTCTAATTATAAGACTGTGTTTTGCCAACATTGTCCGCATGGCAAGAGATTATGAGCGTACTGAGTGTTTTTACAAGAGTCTGAGTGGGACAATATGAAAGCAGCTGGTGGGAGATTAGATTTGCTGGGAAAGCTGCCGTCCTGCTGGTCAGCTGAATGTATAGGGAGGCAGAGGGGAGCTGGGAATGTTATGCAGGCTCCGTGGCCAACAGCGCATACCTGGATTTCGCAGGCGTACTGGGCATTGTAGATGTAGTGAAAGGCCTCTTCGATGGTCTCCCCCAGAGCGACTACGCCGTGATTTCTCAGCACCAAAATCTACAGCAGACACAGAAACCATTAAGAACAAACAGTTGGATTTGTTTGTGTAGCATGGTTTAGTTAAGAAAGACAAATGATGAATGAACTCAAACACAGAGGATACTCCCACAGGATGCAACACCGCTTCCTATTTCAAGCGCACTCCACCCTGATAACTGCCTCTTTATTTTCTTAACTTCAAGCCCCAGATATAGAACTTCCTTTACTGCAGATATTTTTAAAACCACTTGAGATCCTGCACACGTTTTGACCAAATAATCAAATGGATGAGAACTACCCAACCTTTGCTGTTGGACCAAGGGCTTTCTGCAGCTCTCTGCGCTCCTCCTGGTCATCCAGGCAGCCCTGGTAGTTGTAATAAGCAATATCTCCCAAGATCAATGCCTCCTGGGAAATAGGTAAAATGCCACACTTCATAGAGGACACCTGAATTGGAGGAGAAAAGAGAAAAGTGGACACAGAAGATTAGGAGCTGAATTGTTCTAGAGCCCCTCTATCAGTGCACTTTCTTCTTGTAAAGAATTACTGTCTTTCAGTCAAGTCTTTATGTTTGTGCTAAAACAGGAGCAGAAGAGTCCAACAGGTGGTAGCTTTAAGGACACACAAAGAAAGATGAAATGTTCACTTACAGCCGCCGTGGCGGGAGTGTGCACATGTACAATGCAGCGGATGTCCGGTCGCATGGAGTAGATGGCAGCATGCGGGCTGAAACCGGCCGAATCGATCCGCAGGTTTGTGGAGCCTTGCTCGATCACATCCCCGATGATGTTCACCTTCACCTGAGAGGATAAGGACAACGAGAAGGTCAGTGGATCTGGTCCTGAGAATCAGATCTGGGTCCCCATGTGGGGATATTTTAAATGGAATTACACATTAAACCCGACTTCCAAGGCTCTGTTGTTTTTCTACTGTCAGTTGCACCAATAGAGAGACAGTTAATGAGCTTTTAGAGGGAAATATGAATAAATCAGAGCATATTAAAATGTGCAAAGTTTGTAAAACTGTCAACAAACCATGCATATCTTAGAAAGATGCTGCAAAAAAGACTATAGTGAATGCTGCAGCTCCCTGTCAGTATCATGTGACTTGCTCTACAGGTGAGAGGTGTCCCGAAGGAAGCACAATATTACAGTGTTTTAGGACAAGATGCATTACAGTGAAGCAGTTTAAACAGAAATAAACAGTAACAAACAATGAGGGTTACATGCTAGCATTAACCGAGCATTGAGGTTGTTAATATTTTCAGCCTAAACCTATTTTAGCTGTAGAAACACATCACATAGGGACGAATAATGATTTCAAATTATTCATATTTCTATTATTGGTTCAAGAATTAAAAAGAGCTTTTAGAGAGAGAAACTCTTTGTTTTTTTTTCCATATTTATGAAAAAAATACAAAACATAGAGAAACTACTTGCAGAAAAAAAACACACTTATGAATCATGAGCATCACTCTTTTATAGAATTTCTAAGCAGATATCACCCAGACTCACCCAGAAGCACTGATATAACCACCTTTATTATTATTTCTCATTTTTGTTCATGTGTTCTGAGTCACAGCTAAAGGGATATACTGACTCCGAAATATATGATTAAACAAAATAAAAAAAGTATTTTTTTATATCAAAATTTCACAGGAAAGGTCTCTTGGGCAGTCGTGGGTGAGCGGTTAGGGTGTCAGACTTGGATCCCAAAGGTTACCGGTTTGACTCCTGACCCGCCAGGTTGGTGGGGGGAGTAATTAACCAGCGCTCTCCCCCATCCTACTCCATGACTGAGGTACCCTGAGCATGGTACCGTCCCGCCACACTGCTCCCTTGGGGCGCCATTGAGGGCTGCCCCCTTGCACGGGTGAGGCATAAATGCAATTTCATGGTGTGCAGTGTTCACTTGTGTGTGCTGTGTCACAATGACAATGGGAGTTGGAGGAGTTTCCCAAAGGGCTTTCACTTTCACTTGCTGCAAAATAAATAAATAATAAAACCTTTGAGCATGATAAACATTACTTAGTGGGATAAACTGGACAAAATTCTAGCAATGCAGACCATCAAGTATCAGACTGTCAAAATCAGAGCAATGGATGTACACACTGGGCTATCTCTAGTAGTATGGTTTCTATTAATCCAAATATATTCACTGCAATCCTATGAATCTGTTAAAGGAGATATAATGTAGGCAATATAAACATCCTGCTACATCTCCTAAGGGAAAAGCAGAGGGTCTAAAGGAATAAATGTAGGGGAAGCATTTTAAAATCAAAACATGCCCACATAACGGATACAAAACCGGATCCATCCCCTTAACGAGGGGATCAATCTAACTGCCCGGCATAAATCAAAATTAAAAAGCATAAGAGAGAAATTACATTATCTGCCCCTCTAGAGGAAAGGAGTCGGAAAAGTGCCGCGTAAACTAATATAGTCAGGGAGTGGACATGGTGTCCTTTGCATGAACAACTTTATTACCAGTCAATTAGGAGTTATTAGATTACCTGACGGAGGAGATTTAAAGGGAAAGGTAGAGCTGGGAGGCCTGGGGGAAGTGAGTCAGCATGAAGACAAACCGAGAAGCAAACAGCTGAACCTGAAGCAGGAGCAATAACAGACCTGATTCTAGCTGTCACCGTAAAAAACAGGCTAAAAAAACCTGAAGCTCTGCTTTGCCTGCAGGCATTTACATAGAAGTAACCACGTTTCTATGATATAATCCAGAACCGCAGCCGGTTTTCTATTTCACAAAGTCCTGCAGCACAGGAGAAGCCATTTATCATGTAGGCAGATGTGAACACATTCACAAACATAGTCAGGGTGGTGCAGCAAAGAGGATGTGCTGGATATAATAGTGCAGAATCTGTGGTTGAAGGAGCGCGACCCTGAGCCAAAAAGCAATATGTGTCATATTCTCTGATTTCTGCAAAGAAAAACTCTATAAAGTGCTTTAAACTAGATAAAGTACTAAGTACAAAAGAAAACAACCGAACCTCCTTGTCAGAGAAACGCTGTTATCGGTTTGCTTTTTTCTCTATTTCTCTCCTCCATTTATTTACCAATGTTAGTGCCTTTCATATAAATTAGTCCATGTCAGTAAACATTTACAGTAAACAGCTTTATGACCTCATGAAGTTACAGTTTGTTCCAGCAGGACCTCCGACCTAAACAATATGACGCCAAACCCAAACTTGTCTTCAAGCCCCTAGGGAGCATAGATTAGGAAAACCAAAGCAGATATAAGATGATTATTGTTGAGGTCAATGAACCAGTGTTGTCAGAATGAGCCTCAAACCGTAATCATCACAAAATAAATGTGAATAAACGTCATCATGTCCTTTGAAGTGGATGTTTTATTTGATTAAGACTATAGTAAATGTTTCTGAAATGATTAATCGCCGATTCCTGACCAGCTAAAAACCATCAACACAATAATTTCTGTGTAAATGCAAACTTTTGCCTTTATTATTCTCTCATAATAACTTAGATCCTAAATTAGACATGAGTACTTTCACCTGGAGATGATGTTCTCTGTTGCTTTGGGTCTTTCCAATAGGACTAGATCTCCGTTGTGTTCATTTTCAATCATCTCGTCGTCCATGCTACTATGCTAACGCCACCGCCACCAAGCTGCAATGATTTGCCACGAATGAATACCGGCGAATCTGTCGATTCATCTTGTAGTGGTGCGTCAAATGCAACGTAGATTCCCATCCAATTAGATTGAATTTGGTATTGATGACGTGAAAAATAATAACGGTAACTCCATTGAAATGATTCAAAACTAAAGTAACGAGCCAATTTTTAAAAATGTAAGGAGTAGAAAGTACAGATATTTGTGTAAAAATGTAAGGAGTAGAAGTAAAAAGTCGCCATAAAAAAAAGTAGTAAAGTAAAGTAAAAATATCAGAAAAATCTACTTGAGTACAGTAACGAAGTATTTGTACTTCGTTACTTCCCATCTCTGGTTGTTGGACATAAACAGGAAGAAAGGCTAAAAAACATGACAACGGACATTTTTAGAAAGAACCTGAACCAGCTGGGAGTTAAAGAGGACGATAAAACACTGTGTTCAGGCTAGACTTAATCATGGGTTTTAAACACTCAACAACTCAACTTACAGAAGGGTAGAGACTGGGTTAAAAATATAAAAACCTCAATTATACATGGCTGAAAACATCCACATTAATATTTTAAATAAAAATGTATAAAATGGGCTGCATGGGGGAAGGTCCTCGGTTTGAATCCCCTTCTGGGGTCCTTGGCTTGGAGTTAGTAAGTCTCCAGAATCATATATGGGTTCTCTCCAGTTACTCTGGCTTCCACAAACAAACCAAAAACCTGCCTGGAAGGTTAATTAGTATTTCTCTTTGCAGGTAAAGTGTGTTTAATGGCAATGGTGGCTTTTTAACATGCTAGAGATTTTGTTTATAGTTTCCCAAAGAGCTGCTTTCACCTACAGTGCCTAAAGAGGAACAAAAAGTGTCATGGGTGGTGCTGCTTTCATTTTCACATCATGTTTTTTTTTAAACTGATGAACATTTTTCCTAAGAATCCCATTGTTTTTCTAAGCAAGGCAAAAGTGCTGGATAATTTTTATCAGCCAGCTGACAGGCAGTGTGTGGCAGCAACTGTTTTAATGCAGCTGGAGGAGTTCGTTTTATAAAGATAAAATGTGTGGTTCTGGCTTGCTAACGCACGTCAGTACCCAGTGTTTAAAATATAAAAAAACATGGGACAGAACATTCTTTAAAAATTCTAAATAATCCAGCCAAGGTCAGGGTTTCTGACTGGATTCCCACCTATTTTCTCTCTGTCTGAAAGCTGTGCTGATCTGGGCAGAGGCGGATCCCGCCCTTCTCTCTGACACCCATCTGACCCTGATGCAAGCTCCACAGTCTTTATTACGGATCACTTCCTCTTAATCAGCCTGCATGCTTCTCCTACTCAACCACAGAGCTAGAGACCTCAATGCATCAAAACAGTGAAAGAGGGAGGAGATTAGAGGGAAAAAATGAAGACAATAATACAAAGGCAGCAATACAGAGTTGAAATGAGAAATCTGATAGAGCTACACCTCATTATTTAACCCCAACTTCTTTAATCAGTCGCCTTCACACTCACACACGTTACTGCAAATCTGAAGTTAATACGAATATGGCTTTTATGCTCAAACATTTTAAAATGACAACTTTCATATTTACTTCTAGTTCTGCACAATATAAGCAGATTACTCATACTAGATGAAGCTCCTAAAAATGGCAATGATGCTACGGATCCAATAAACTCAACTTCCTTCAACTTCTGTCTTTATCGCTATGGAATCCCCCCCCAGAGCTTTTCTACGCAGCAATTTTATATCAGATGTGAGCATTTTAAGTCCATCCAATGGGTCAGATGTGTTGTCAGAGTGCAGATCCTACATTCCTGGCACTGAAATATCGTAACTTACAGTACTGATTGCATGCAAGTAGTACTTTGCAACTGTAATATCCTGCAGATTTATACTGAAAAGATCTCTGTGACACGACATGTAAGGCAGGGAAATTTGCTTCACATTTTAAAGCAAAGAAAAAGAAAATGGTACATAAAGAGAAAGGATGGAAGGAAAGAAGCAAGGGAAACTACAAGGAAAGAAAAAAACGAAGGAAGGACACAAGGAAAGGAAGGGAGGGAACATGTAAGGAAGAAATGAGGTAAGAAAGAAGGAAAACAAAGGAAGAAGATTTGGACCCAGAAGTAGAAAAATAATTCTGAAATATGTTTTTTTCCATACTTCCATCCTTTTCCTAATCAAAACAAAACACCGAAATAAAATTCTAAACTTTCCATGATTATCCCGGCTGTATAAAACTGCATTTTACCAGAAAAAAAGAAGAAAGACGAAAAGCTAAAGTTCTGTTTTCTCAGCCAATAAAAAGGTTTTGTGTTCAGCGCCTGCAGTAGAAACTACAACAAAGATTGTAATCATTGTTTGCCAACCTGTCCTGCAGGTCACACAGAGAAGATAAATATAGAGGTTGAGGGCAGCGACACATAGACCTTTGTTAGCAAGCAAAAGATAATCCTTCTTTTCGGAGTGTAGTGAAAAAAGCTCTAATAAAGGACTGAATACACCCATGAAGCTTTTCAGTTAATAAAAAAATACGGAGAAATAATTAAAGCAGATCATTTTACACTTGACTACTTTTCACTCAGATGTTTGAGATAAAAACACGGACGTGCTGCATTCATTGAACCAAAACTAAAGTTAAACTACCCTCTTCCTGTTTGTAGTACCTGCTGACAGACATAAAAAAACAAGCTACTTCTCCACTAATGTCAACAGATAGTGAAACCCATAATAAAAGATTAATATCAGGTTTAATGGACCTTTTTCAGTCTGCAGAATCAAATAAAAGAAATAAAAGCATAAAGTGTCAGGTAGCCTGAATGTGCCGATGTTTCTTACCAGGTTGGATGCAGAAGCTTCAGCGAATGACAGACCTCTGGGGATGATGAGAATGTGGTCTTGTTCTTTACTCACTCGGCCCTAAGTGGAAATGAGAAGGTCATGTTTAAAAATTTTTTTTTTATATCATTCCTTAAGAAAAAAAAAAAACCCCAATGTCCTCCTAAAAATCATCATCTATAATACTGAGCCATCTATAGGACAGTCATGGGGAGTTTTAAATCACTGGTAGCTAAGGGCTGTATGTGAGCCCTGATTTTTTTAATTAGCAAATTATCTTCATTTAAATTTTTATATATATATATATATATATTTGGATTTTAGTGTAATTAAACTTAAAGGTATAGATGACAACATTTTATTTCCGGTTGCATCATCTAAATAAGCGGTCCTCCTAATTGTCAATCATTCTGGTGATATGTTTACGTAGGGCCATCCTATGTGCTCATTCTGTTATCTATGGAAGCAAATCGTTACCATATTTAAAATGAAAAAGTATTTTCAGAAATGCTTTTTCATTTTAAGAATGTGGCTGTATTGTTTGACTAGTAAATTAAATTAGTAATCAATAATCCTGTTCGCATTTTCAATTTCTTCTTTAACACTGCTCATCCTTTTACTTAATTAAAATGAAAAAGAAAAAGACAGTTGAGATTTATTTTTCAAAATGCACCCGAGCAAATACATACCAAAATTCAATTTGAAATGTAAATCTTAAAATGTAAAGGCATTTCCAGAAATCCTTTTTTCATTTTAAGAACGTGGCTGCATTGTTTAACTCATAAATGAAATTACCGTAGTAATCAATCATCGTAATCAATCCTATTTGCATTTGCATTTTTTTCTTTAAGACTGCACATTTTATGCCATAATCAAAGAGAAAACACAGCAGACATTGCTTTTTCGTTTTCGTGGTCTGCCAGCAAAGTACTGTCCATAACACAAAAACGAAAAAACATTCTGAGCGGCGGGGGCAGCAGAGTATCATCAACAGCTGCTCTTCCTCAGGTCCTTGCTGACCGGGTTACCCATGTTGTTCGGTAGGGGGCGGTGTGCGTTTGCATTGCAATACATTGTAAGCCTGCCGGCGGGAAACTGGTTGAATTGCCGGATCTGACTATCGGGACATACTGAACGACCACAATGACCAAAAGCACTTGCTCTAAAGCAGCAGTAGCCTCCCTCTGTAGCTCTGCCACTTTTTTTTCTACGCAGGCACACTTTCAGGCGTAAATCTGTAGTGAGCTATGGTTTCAGACAGTCATTGAAGGATTAGGGCCACTGAAAAAAAAAAGTTAACTGATTTTTAAATTTTATTTCAGTATAACATGGGGAAAAAAGTCAGAATTCTGACTTTAATCTCAGAATTCTGACTTTAATCTCAGAATTCTGACTTTTTTCTCAGAATTCTGTCAGAATTCTGAGATGATCCAAGTTAAACTGAAATAAAATTTAAAAATCAGTTAACTTTTTTTTTTCCTTCAGTGGCCCTAATCCTCTTCCGTACCCTTGAAAATGGCAGAGGATCGTAAGAGAACAAGTGTCTACTAAGTTTATGAGAAGAAAAGAAAGGCCTCAGAAAAGGAAGATATTTTCCAGAATGCTTTGCAGGGAGACTTCTCCTTGCAAGGCATTATGGGATTTCCTGTCACAGCGGCCTCCTGTCGCCATAGGTTGTCGCTTCCCGACAGTTGTGAATAATAACAAAGATGCCGCAGGCATTGCACAGTGAAGGAGGAGACGAAGCTACGTGACCAACTGGGAGCAAAAAGTAGTGATCGTCTGTCCGAACGGTCAGTTAACTGGGCTCGTGCTTTTGCAGGCGTTTAAAATGACTGAAAAGCTTTAAAATGTTAGTCTAACAGCATAATAATGTTGAAATTAAAAGCTAGAATTTATTTTCAGCACATTTGTTCAGCTGGGGGGTGGAGGTGGTTATGTTAAGAAATAATTGTTGTTGGTATTTAATATTGGCTTATGTATAAATTTGATCAAATAAATGCAACTGGACATTTGTTTATGTTTCTATTGTATCATGTTTTTCCACCAGATTTTTTTGTGTTGATTGAAACTTTATAGAAACTTCAAATAAACAATAAGAGAAATTCTCTCTCCTCTGAGTACATAAATGATGAAACTGAGGCCTATATCTAGCAGAAATCAGCCACCAGTCTTGACGAATAAGGGCGCACATCAATTTTGTCAGATGGCACAGACAGCAGGAAGACTAAATCGCCCTCTTGGAGACCTGCACCATAGCTCTGCATGTCCAGGTCACCCAATGTTAATAACAATCACAAACCCTGTACTAATCCCTGAATTACGGCGGTCCACCCACTTCCACAGCCACAGGTGTGCAGCACCAAGGTATGCAGACTGCTTCTACCAGCAGTTAAAATGCTTCTAATGTGTGCAGATTATGAACAAAGGGAGAATTTTATGGCAATGTGGTGAAAATATTCACCAACAGCCTAATTACATGAAAAAACATGGTTTGCATTTTCACAAGCTCATTTATGCAATAAATTCAGTAATTACTCAGTCGCCTCTGCAACCACTGAATCTGTGCAACACATCTGTTCTCCTCACAGCCAGATGTGACTTTGTTCTATGGTTGTGTAAAACAACAACTCCAATTTGTCAATGGTTGACTCAAAACAACTTCACTGAGCTAAAGTACGAGTCATCTTTGCCTGGTAGGGCAGAAACGCCTCACCAAAAGCCTCAGGTATCACTGCGTGCTTTACAGTCTCTGCTCGCGTCATGTCAGTAAGAGGACCACGACTAATCAGAGCGATGTCAAAGGATACTAACTAGTGTTGGGTGCGGAGGTCATCAAATTTCTGGAGATACAGTAGTGCAGAAGCATTGGAGATCTTTCTGCAAGGAAACACATCAGGTTGGCAGCATGTTTGCAGGATCCTCTTAGTTCAGGGGAAGGGAAGTCCTAATGCTGTAGCATACCGACATGTTCACGGACGTTTGATAATCCAAACTTTGCTTGGCTCATTGCTATTTCATGACTGTTATCCAGTGTGCATTATAAGGTCAATAAACTTGTGGATGATAAGGTTTGGTGTGTAGGAACCTGACTGGCCTGTACAGGGTCCTCAGTTTAAAACCTCAAAACAGAGGAAGCTTCAGGCCACACCCTCCCATCCAACACCAGTGTGTGAACTCACAAATAAGAAAAGGGTTAGAAACTTATTTCCTAAGGCCCCGTCCACACCAAGTCAAAACGAACACGAAACGCTAATATTTTCCAGAACGTTTGTCGTAAAGACGGAGACGTAAAATAAATGTGATCGTCCACACGAATGCATGAAAACCCTGCAAAATGTATGCCAGGCCTGTAAGTGGCGACGAAATGTTGGGCATGCGCACTAATATTTATACATGGTTGCCCTGCGGGTCCATTTTCGTGGTTCAGTCAAATTCAGGTGCTGAACTATGTTGTCGATATTGCTCTGTTCTTCCTGGAGATATTCCAGAAGAAGAAGATTCTGTTGTAAGCCCGACAGCAGGGTGAGTAGCATGAGCAGCAACCATTCAACACAGTACGGCGCCATTGTTGTTGTGATACTGTGTCGCGCATGCGTGTTTAGAGGCGACGCTATGACGCATGCGTGTAAAAAAAAAAATGCGGTTAGAGCTTAAAGATGGAAACGCGAAAACGGCGTTTCAAAATCTTCCCACTCTGAAGGCTTAATAAAAAAAAGATCGTTTACAGACCCCCGAAACGCCGGCTTCGTATGGATGACAGGCTGGTTTGGTGAAAAATTTGTGCGTTTAGGCCAGGGTTTGGCTTCGTGTGGACGGGGCCTTAGTCTTGTGGTTTAGACCCTGTGGATGTTATGGGGCAAAGGATGCAACAGCCTCAACCATATGAATTAGGAAAGGGGGCCTAGTGGTTTGGGCATTGCGCTTGGAATCCTGAGGTTCTGATTTTGAGCCCCATTCCCACAGACTGCCACTCTATGTCCCTGAGCAAGACCCTTAAACCCACACTGCTCTCCAGGCGCCACACAATGGCAGCCCAGGTTATATGCAGAGGTAAATTTCTCCAATGTGAGATCAATAAAGTTAAATTATTATTAAAAGTGAGTTTGTTCAACTATACAGCACTGCAAAAAATTAGAAATCAAAGTGAGACTTGAAATAAGAGAATTTTCTTGATTTCAGCAGGTAAGACAGTTTGCAAATGGAACAAGATGATTTACTTTTAAAGTAAAAAAAAAATGTTATTTTAAGTGGATAATATCTAATTATCTTATTTTAAGTGCAAAATCACCCATTTATGGGATAATATGTTTATTATCAGAAAGTTTTATTTCCTTTTAGCTCTGTTTTTGGTGTGTGGAATTGTACTGGAGACATTTAAACTCTGGCATAGTGAAAGACTGGTCTTACTGTGATGTAGGAGTTGGCGAAGTGGGCCCAGCTGAACAGGTCCACCAGTCTGTAGAGGCTGGCCAGTTTACAGCGCGTCAGCTTCTCGCCTTTCACCATAGAGGAGCATTCCACCCCATACAGGTCATTAATGGGAGTCACCATCCCCAGACCTACAGGATCACAGTTAAACCAGAGAAGGGGGAAAGAAAATGAAGGTTATTGATGCCGGTTGAGCAGATGGGATAGTTTTAGTAAGAAAAATGAACTTCACTCAGGGACAAACCCCTCTAAAAACATCTGGATTTTTATCATCTGACCCATATGGCTCCACGCTGGAACCCTAAATTACTCTGTGATGTTATTCAACCCCAGCCCCTCCTCGCCCGTCAATCTGAGTATCTGTTAAGGAGGATCTAAAATGAACTGCTACATTGCCTTTGACGTCTAATTCTGCATTAGTTGTGCATTCCTCTGCTCTGATTGGAAACAGACTTCACATATGGACTCTTGGACAAAACTCACAGAGGATCTAAACCCGGTGAAGTATTCCCAGCTCTTCCGGAGTCTGGAGTTTGGCTGTCTAAGAGCATGAATGCCCTCAAGCGTACAAAGGATATGGATCTCTTCTCTCCCAATACTGACACTGTGACATTTTTCCTTTTGTTTTTTTTGAAGCTGTTCCAAAGTGGTTCCTCTGTGGGCAGCAACAGCTTGTTCTTGTAAAGCCTTATGTCTGGTTCCCCTGGGTAACGGACCAAAGCGCAACAAGCACTTACTGAGAGGAGACGTGTTGAAGCCGGCCACTGAGCTGGCCATGAAGAAGTCTGCGATCTGCCTGAGGGCCAGCAGTCCGGTCGGGTTGTTCCCTTTTCTCTGCTGCTCATGGATCAGACACTCCAGCTCCTCTTTGAAAGCCTTACAGACAAAAAGAGATGAGGTGAAAAAAAGCTGTGAGAACAGAAATCTGTAGCAAAACACTGATTTATCCTTTAAACTGGCCAGCCTGGCTAGTTTCTACAGATTTAAAAAGGGTTTTAAGACATTTAATTTCACAATTCCCTAATTCTCCTAAATAAAAAAATAAAAAATAAATAAATAAATTCCCTAAATTATGACCATGAAAACAGACTGGGATTTTTGGAGAAAGGCAGAGCATTATTTTACAGATTTGTTTATAACTGGTTATATTAGACCAGCTTATTACACAACCTGAAACTGTTCAACTCACATAATTTTAGGATTTTTGTGTTGTTGTTTTTTTATACAGGCAAAAATCTTGAAATTACATGTTTTACCTTTAGGAACATTGGCACCTTTATGTCATTTCTATAGAAAAGAAAACTTTAACCAAATGATTGCAACAAATATAATTTTCATATGGGACTTGGTATATGAAAGCACCTGATCTGAATTGGACTGGTATAACAACATAAAGACGTTGATCAGGACCTATACTGCATCCTTAAAAAAATAAGAAAGTTTACTCAGCAGAGAAATAAAAAGATCTAGAAAACGGCCAAGAGAACACATGGAGAGGACCACTATCATCAGCAAGAAGATAGACTGAAGCAGAGACACGGAGAAAGAAGCCGTGTCAACAGGAGGAACTGAGGACGACTGACGAAGATGCGTTAATCATAGATTAGAAATCCTCCATGGGTGTCAATCTGACTCCCCCCTTGAAGGATCAGGATTGGCTGCCCCAGAGCAAGACGTGTTGGGATTGGTTGTGCAGTTATCTCCCTCTTCTTGGTTGTGATTGGCTTTGTGGCATGAGTATGTGTGTTTCCTGTTAATCCTCATGTTCAGGCCACGGTTATCTGATCAGTTCAGGGACAGCATATACTATGCTGCATTCTAGCAGCGCCTTATGTAAGAGTGGAGAAACAAACATAGCTGATGATTTTAATGTTACTTTTATTAAATGTGAAATATAGGTTCAAAGAGCAGTTATGAGACATGTCTGGAAATGTGAAGATCAAAGCTAGACATGCCTCCAAAGCTCAGACTGCAGAGGTAACGTGAAAATACAACATCAGATACTTTATGTCCAGGGAATCTCTAGGCAACTTCCAGGGAGGGGCACCAGCCTTTGTTTACCTGCTAATGTCATTAAAGCTGTGACCGGTGCAGAGGATTATCCAACTAGATCGCAAGGCAAACACACAGGGCTATGGTAATATCTGACAATCTGGGAGGTTAAGATGCACAGAAATGCTTTTAAATGGTTACATTTTCATGACGACAATTTCCTAATCGCTGTTTTTAAAAGTAGAAAACCCAATCATATCTACAGCGTATCTAAAATTCAAATTCAAAGGAAACAGGTATCTGGATTTGCTTCTTCAGTAAAAACCAAGAGTGTGATGTTAAAAAAAAAATGCAGCGATTTTGTCTTTTTGGCTCATAAACATTTGACATAATATCTAAAACAAGGCAAAGTCTTTAGATCGGATTGATGATGTCATCAAGGCTTATTGGAGATATTCCCATTAGTGTTTCTTTTTTAAAATAATGCATCCCTTTTGAAACTCAGACAGCTATTACCCTGTTTGCTGCCTCTGATAAAGATGTGTAAAAAGGGCGGAAAATCTATTTGCTATTGCATTGGTATAATCACTATGGGATGGGGACGTCCCATGCTAGGAAAAATCCCTGAAGGAATCACCATTGGTACCCCTGGAGGTTAAAATGTTTTATTTGACCACGTTTTTTTGATCCTTGCCCCTTATGACTGTTATAAAATGCTCTAACAAAGTTAAAGGAGCCTTCAGCAAAAGATTTTATCCCACTTTGTCTCCGTTACACACAAATCCACCTGGATTGTTTTTTTTTATTTCTATGAAAACTCAGAAAACTTTATACATTTACATTTTGTGATAGTAAGATGGACAGTTATTTTTTTCTTATGCCAACCACCATTCTAATAGAATCAATTGAGACCTGTTGAGGTGGTTAAAAGTGAAGGGACTGTATCGATTGAATCTAGGCCTGCAACTAATGATTATTTTACAAATTGTATAATCTGTCGATAATTTTTTCGACTAACCGAATAATAAAAATAATCAGATAGCCAAAGGTTCATTAAAGAAGATGTTTTACAATATTAAACGACGTGAAACTAAAAAATATCCACTCGAGGAGTTCTGGATAGAGCATATTTACACATGAAAACCTTTTTTTAATCTTAAATGAAAAATGTTTTAATATTTTTATTGCAATTTTGCTATAATTACTGCTCTAAGTGGGTCACTCTGTCAGCTTAAGTGTTTTAGTGTGTCTACGATCACATTAACGATAAATCGATTACTATTAGTTGACTATTATTTCAATAATCGAATAATCACGATTAATCTGATTAATTGTTTCAGCCCTAGTTACATCATATTTGTACCCCAGAAAAAAGGGTAATGTTTGGCTGTATTTCTTCTAAAGGGAGGGTAACAATAATCATGACAATTTTATAAAGACTTAAGAGAGGTTATGTTATTGAAATTCATGATCACTTCAGGGTTTTTTTTAGTTCTTTTTATTTAACACACATTCACTAAAAGGCACCATTAGTAACTGTCTCTGTATTTGGATAGCTCCTCTAAGCTCCAAGTAAACTCAGGCCTGCTCATAAACAAACATTCAAAATCCTATTTTACTGAAAGTGTTTTCAGAATCGGGGTGGATGGTACTATTGGGCTCCATTAAACAAAAAAACAAAAAAAAAAGATTTCCATCTAAACTGTGTTTCAAAAATTTTTGCTTTGCTTGTCTACAGACACTAACTTAAGCTGAAATCACTTTGTTTCTGCTCTTGTTTAATGTTGGTGGAGTTAGGCTCAACATTTATTCAGGTTTTCACCAGCTGGGCCTCCACCTACCCATTAAAATTCCAGGGTATCATTTGGAAACAGCCCAGCTGCAAGAGGGTTCTCTGCTGCTACACTTTAGAGTACTTAGTAGAACAAAATGAGGAATATAAAGACGTTTTATGGTAACCATGCCTAACTATCAGATGCAAGGAGCAATTGGTGTAAATTAACAGACTAAAACTGAGTCATAATAAACAACTTGTGGAGAAAGGCTGAATAGAAGAGAGAGACATCAATAAAGAAAACTAAACAGAAAACCATGTTTCCACACATTATACCTTTTATTAGTCATAATTTTACAGCTAAATCAAGGTCAGGCCTGCAAGTAATGAACTCAATAACCTTTTCTAATTAATAAACATAATCTAAGCTTAGCGAAACCAGAGCTTTCTAACAAAATCTACACTCTTCTATTTTGAGTCTGTTGCCGAGTGAAGACCAGTCGAAACTAACCATCAGTGTGAAGAAGGAAAGATGCAATAATCAGTTTAAAATGTCTAGGATGACAATTAAAAAAAGATCTGCAGTTCTTTTAGGCAGTGGAAAAAAACAAGACTTTCAGTCAATACCATGAAGGCTGTCTCTGCTGCATTACTTTATAAATTTAAACCAGCTGTTTACATACCCTAAATATATAAACAATTCTATCTTTCACTGTCGCAATAACTTAAGACATGAGATCTGTTTTAGATTATTGAGATTGCAAAAGTATTTCTAGCTTCTTAATGACATAATAATGACAGAATTACTTCATTTACTTATATTTTCTAAGAGTTTGGTAGAAATGCCTTTAAGCTGTTTGACACCAATGCTTTGCTTCCTTCCTCAAGCTTTTCTGAATAGTTTGCTGTGTGATCATTGCCAGCATCCATTTTAACAACAATTTTTACCCAAATTAATGTCTTGAAATGTGACCTCAACATTTCAATATTATGTTCCTTTCTCATAATATCCCCTATTTTGTCAGGTGCATCAGTCACACCTGCAGCAGGAAACACAATAAAAATGCTACTGCAACAACATGCTGCAGCAACTCCAACAACCAGCATATTCAAACTGTAATCAGATTTTTATTTATGCTGCTTTTGAAGTAAGGTCCTCCACCTAACCCTCACTTCCAGCCCATGTCTATATAGAACTACTTTCATTGTACATAGGACACAATTTTATCAACTTTACCTTTTCTGTGTCTTTTTCTTCTGCTAAAATGTCAGTTTGCCATGGTCAGTTTTCCTTTTGAGTTTTCATTGGTTTTATTTCCATTTTGTGTTGCTTTCTGGTTGCATTTGATATTGTATTTCTTGTTTACCCCCTTGTGTCAGTCTCTTCCCCCTAGCTCTCTTCTAGATTCTTCCATCCACACCTGCTCCTCATCGGCTAATTAGTCCAGTCTTTATTCAGTCTCCCATTTATTCTCCTCTTGTGCAGTTTCTCTTTGCTGGTTTGCTCCTCATGCTTGTTTTACCCGAGGTCTCCTGGTTCTTTTGGTTTTCTGTATTTTGCTTTAGGACTTTTTCTTCTGTTGCCCTTTGGATCTGCATTAAATCCTCAAGAATCCACCTCAGCTTCCGTCTCTGTGTTTGGGTCCTCTAAAAACCTCCACACATCCTGACATAAAAAACAATCCTCTCTAGGAACATGTATTCCTTCTGAACAATATGAAGGCAGGACACCCCTTTGTGGTTTATAAATGGCACCTTTGGGTATCAGGATATTGTATCCAGCAGTAGAATAGACCTGTGCAGGTCCACATTTATCTTCTACATATCTATGTTGATGTCTTTTCACTTTCCTAGGATATCAAACAGGGAAGCATTGTGTTAGAGGGGTGGGCTCACTCCACAGGATACTACCAATTTACCCACATACTTTGTGAATTAGCCAATCAGAAGCCTTCACATCTGAGAGCTGAATTTTAACAGTAAAGAAAAAGCAATTCTCTAGAAATTGCCATTATTCCTAAGTTAGCTAATTAAAATACACCCTTTCTGTAAAAATAAAAAAAGATTTAAAAAATCTATAGTACGGTCTGACCTAGGATCCAGTAATTAA